CCCCCGACGACGACGACGCGCGGATTTATTATTGACCGTGCTTCGCAAGCCTCTAGCGATGGGATCAAGTTCGATACGCACACGCGAATCCGAGTCAATTTCGATACCCAATACACGCACGACTGACAGCAATATGTTTAATCACACCTCATTGATTATTACCAATCAAACTGATCTTCATAACCCAGGCTCATAAATAAAACACTTGGTCAACATGTTGTCAATCTTTGGAGAAGAAAGGAAATCTTCCTGGAGTTATTTTAAAGCTTAAACTTCCTTTTCACTAGAAAACCTATGAGAAAATAAATACGATTTTAAAATATGTTTCAAATTCAAACGGTATCCAAAAGTTTAAAAAATTTTCCATCCGTTTAAAACTACTATAAATTTGAAGATTAAAGTCTCTTTGTTGCAAAGACCTCTTTAATCACACCACTTTGATTATTACCAATCAAACTGATCTTCAAAACCCAGGTTCATGAATATTAAAACAGTTTGTAAAAATGTTGTTAAGAAGAAGTCCAATAATCTTCCTGGGGTTATTTTAAAGCTTGAACTTTCTTTTCACTAGATACTTCTCCACTAGAAAGCCTATGAGAAAATAAATACGATTTTAAAATATGTTTCAAATTCAAACGGTATCCACAAGTATTAAAAATTTTCTACCCGTTTAAAACTACCATGAATTTGAAGATTAAAGTCACTTCGTTGCAAATACCTCTTCGGAAGTTGACGTGCAATTTTTCTTCGCTGAAGTGGCCGGATATTCAACGAGCAAATAATTCGGCAAAAAGTCCCTAGACCTACTTGTAAGGTGCTTGATCCCATCGCTAGCCGCCTTCGTCGAACGAACGGCGCAATTTCTGCCCGTCTCCTTGCCCTCTGCCCGTTTTTCTCTTTCTTTTCCTCCCCACCCGGGGCATCGTGTTAACCGCTCCGTGAGCATTTCCACCCCTTCAGCCCCCGCGGCGAAGAAGCGCGACATCGCGACGTAGTCGTCGGGGCGAAACTCGATCATCCGCGGTGCACTTCTTGGTAACGAGATTCTTTCGAATGTAACCACCGACGACCCCGGAACGGAAAACTCTTTCGAGGCGTGCCGTAATTTACCGGAGTGGATGCCCCCCCCCCACCCCCCACCCACCAGCGAGATGCACCTTCCGGTTACCTTCTAGCTGGGGATTCGATTTCTTCTGTTTTCTATTCTCGAAACGACCGCTTCGGTTATTTATATTTACGGGAGGTTAAAAAGTACCGAGCAGCGACGTAACTAAGATGTACTTAAAATTTTATCGATCCATCGATGTTTAGAAATTCATTCCTTCCTATTAAGTTTTCGCATAATAAATAGCCAACGTCATCGGTCACGATTCTGAAACTAATTGTGATTCAATGTGGAGTTTAATACTTGACTCGGATACTTTGTAACTTCGATAAAAATATTACTATAGAAAATGCATAATTTCTAACAGAATTTTCTAATTAATTTGAACGGTGTAATTACGAGTCTATTAGTATGTGGAATTTAATATTTGACTCGGATACTTTGTAAATCCTACAAAAGCATTACTATACAAAATGCATAATATGTAACAGAATTTTCTAATTAATTAGAACGGCGTAATTGCGAGTAAATTAGTATGTGGAATTTAATATTTGACTCGGATACTTTGTAACTTAAATAAAAGCATTACTATACAAAATGCATAACACGTAACAGAATTTTCTAATTAATTTGAACAGTGTAATTACGAGTCTATTAGTATGTGTATTTTACGGACTAAAGTTCCTGCCCATTAAAATGCGATCAAATCGCTGGGAACATATGTACCTAGAACACGGAATAGAACGATTAAAAACTTGTAGACGAATACGCCCTAAAAGTTTCGCGTTATTTTCATCGTTCACTCATCGCGGCGATGCTAAAAATACACTCGAGTTTGGCAATCGATAATGATTTCAACGACGCGCTTTTTCTTCGTTAAAATTTCCCGTCGATGGATCTATATATATTTTTTTTTTAAGGCGGTGGTCGAAAAACGATGGACACGCTATGATTTTAACCGGCAACGAATCAACTCGCATTAAACACAATTACCAACGAGAGATGACGCAGTGTACCGAGTTAGTTGGTACTCGTTATCCGGCAAATTGATCAAATTGCCTTTACTGGAGTGTATTTGTCCATCGACATGGTTGCGAGGTCGAACGTATCAGTTCTGATAAGTTACACCTGTTATTCTATAATATCAAAGTGAAAGCTTAAAGATTGTAAGCATGTTTCACGTGATTTTTGTTAATCCACCATAATCTAAATACTTCTAAAAAAAATTACACGATAAGACCGTTGACAAACACTAATAATGGAATATAAACTGATAGATAAAGTTCAACAAACACAACCGATAGTAGTAGTCGATGTAGAATGCCACTATCGTACAAGGTTTCGATTTGGACAAAATAAGAATTAAAAATCCGTCGTATAACTGTTCCACCGTGTATATCTCGCACCCTAGAGTGAGTCATGCAATTTAATCGAACCACGTCTCTCTCATTGTTGACAATGGAAGAAAGTGGCGGAAGAGGGAGCTAAATTATTTAATAATGCCCAACTTCTTACGACATTGCTTTTCAGCAAATGCAACGATGCGTCTGAAAAGTACAACCATCTGAACTGATAAATATGCTTCCACTATATGTGTGTAAATGTAATATAGAAAACACGTACGAGTATCATTATAAAATTTCGATCAATATATCTGCACGTCTCTTTGCTCGGTGACCTTAATCTCAATTAATATTGTCCCTCTTTTTGATCCAACATTCGTGAAAAAGGAGTCTTACTGTAGGCAAAAAAAAAAAAATGGATTAATACGTTCGCCGTGAAAATACTGTAGCAGCAATGGCGGGGTAACTCTTTGTTTGGAGGGTGCGAACGCGGGCAAGGAAACTCGTGACACGGGCAGCTGTTCGAATTACATTGGGCTCGCCCCTGGCGCGTGGACGGTTTATTGACACACACTCCAGGCGACCGCGTATTATTACCAGTGTCGTGCGTTCGCCATGAAATGTATGGCCCGTTTTTGAAGAAAGAGAAAGACCGCCGGAGCATCGGGACGAATCTCGGTCCATGCGCCACGAGAGGGAGAAAACCAACAATGCTTCCACCTCTAGCGACCTTCCCTCCATTTTTCGCGCGTTCCTTCTTTGGTAGCGACCAGTCGATCCCCGAACGTAAAAATTCAATATCACACGATATTTCCTAATGTATATTTCTTTTTACACAAGACGAATAAATATATATTTCTTCCTTCATCTACATTTCGACCACATGCTGATATTTTTCAGGGCATACAACTGCAAATATAAAACAAACAACAATAATATAACAAAACATAAACTAAAATTGTCTACACTTACGAAGCGTGTTTCTTCGTTAACTTAACCTCTACAGTTTAATGTTCTTATGAAGTCAAAAGCTTCTAGTGTTCTGATCGTATAGACTAATGGTAAATGAAAAATGTAAAATTTCTACGCGTATGAGTGACCGTAATTACAAATAATTAATCGATGATTTAATAAATTCTTAGTCGAATACTTTTCTTTTGAAGATGCGACGCGAGGATGGCGACACCACGTGATATTTCGGTACTCGTGTGATTTAGTGGAAGGTAGTGTTGATAAGCTTTAGATTCCCCGGGAGATTTGAAATTTAGGGGTTATCCTGATATAGATATTGCTAAATTTAGATGTATTTGTTTGCAGATTCGATGAATATTCTCGTAAATGTTTTATACGTACCATATCTTATAACATCTGTTTATAATAATGTTCCTCTAAGTCTAGAATGTCGATATTATTCCAGTTCAATTTGAACAAGTGTTCCAAAACACAATCTTCTTAAACTGATACTAACATAACTAGAAGTACTTGGGTACAGGCCTAAATTATTTGGAATTAAAAAATACGTTATATAAGTTTGGATGATATTAGTTTATGATTTATTATATTACAACCGTTCAGTATATTACACATAGTGTATCGAATATTCACTTATACATCCTGAAAAAAGCCAACTATATATATTTCCCCCTGTACTATTCTATTACCAACAGAATACACACATACGTTGAAAAGTAAACGCTAAGAGGAACAAATTCACAACCCAAATACAAATTCACGTGATTTAAGGCCAAGCAGACGCTGTTAATCTAGAATCTCCGGTCTCCCGAGTTAAAATAACACACGGCGCCCGGTAATCTCGGTGAATCGAACAAAAGATGAAGTCGAGAACAAGTGATTTACCGAGCGGTTATCGTTCGTTTACGATTGGTATACGGCGAGCTTAATTGTTCGCCGAGAGGTATATTGTGCTCTCGCAAAGAAGATGCTTGTGCAAACGTTTCATACGAGCATCAACGCGCTAACATAACGTATATCGATGGAGGAGGATAGAAAGAGACGAGATAGAAGATTGTACTTCCACGCTTCGGGCCACACGCATATGCTTTTGACGTTTCGCGTCCGGTAGCGTCCGTGAATGATCGTTCCGTTACATTTAGATTAACGCGGTATCCACGATAGTAGCGTTCGATAAACTTCAAGCTCGCGGTACCCTCGCGACAGGGAACGTTTATCGAATACGAGTAACAAAACTTGATTGACAATGAAGGAAAAAAAAGAGAAACGGTCACGGCGGCCGGGTTCCGTCGTTGTTACAGAACATCGTACGTTCTCTTTCATCGTAGGTCATAGTACGAGTACCACTCACCTGCATGCTTCTCCGACTTCGGCGTGGAGGCCATCGCTACCCGGTAGTATGTCCTCTCGAGCCGTGACACTATCTCACCATTTCCGCGAACGACCGCATCGTACACTACACACCAGTGGCTGCCGCGGCGTTTTCAGTCTGATGTAAACCCGACGTGCACCGCTACATCTTCGTTTATCAGCCATCTTTCGGGGCGCGAGCGCGCGAACCGCCATCCCGCGGCCGTGATTCGAACACAACCACTAGGCCAATATGGCCGACGGACTGTCAATCGGGTGACATTTCACTCAATTTTCGTCTGCGAAAGGATGCTCGCGAACTGCTGACATCCACGAGTAGAACAAGTTCCGCGACCACGTACGTACGAGCACGAATAGCTGTACCGATCAGCCCGCTACGTCCATCGACACCACGAGTATCGCTGTAGTGAAAATTAGTCGGAGGAGTGGCGACGTAACGACTGACTTTGGTATACTGGTACAGTGTCACGCAAAAGTTAACGTTCATCGATGACCGGTACAATCTGTAACAAAAAATAGTTCGTTGCTTTGCAATGATAACGGTGCCAAAGAGCAGTGAGTACTGAGCAATGACCTAGAGTGCGTACAGTAAAATTGATTTATTCTCTTATCTATGGAATAATTGTTATTTTCTTTGAAGAATGCAGTATTGTTCGTAAAATGTATATTTCACTTTGATATGACTTTCAAGAATTAATAGAAGTTACTACTGGCGTACTAGTATATCAAAATTGTAATATAAATCAATCGAAAATAATTATAGAGTATCGTTTCGCAGGGTGTGATTGGAACGAACCTGGGTGCCAGCTGAAATGGGAAACTCTGGTTTGAAACAACATTACGAGACCGCGAAAAAGACCGGTACGTTAAATTTGTCGCAGGGAAAACTCGACGAATTCCCGCAAATACTACGTGACTTGGCACCGCAATTACGTACATTAGACCTGTCCAAAAACAAATTTATTCAGATTCCTAACGATATTGGTAACTTTACATTGCTAAAGCAACTGAATATCAGTCATAATAAATTGACTGCATTGCCCGAAGTTCTCGGAACATTGACAAAATTAGAAGGTTTAAATGCAGCCTCGAATCAGATCAAAAGTATTCCATGGTCTTTGGCGAAATTAACACATTTAAAACAGGTCAACTTGTCTGACAATCAGATTACCGAATTCCCTATAATGTTTCGTGATTTAAAGTTCTTGGACATGCTGGACTTATCTCAAAATCGAATTACAACGATTCCCGACGCTGTCGCGGCATTGCATGTGGTCGAACTTAACCTCAATCAGAATCATATATCGGCAATTTCTGAGAAATTGGCGGAATGCTCGCGTTTAAAAACGTTAAGGCTGGAAGAGAATTGTTTGCAGTTACACGCAATACCTATTAAAATTTTAAAAGAGTCGAATGTTTCGGTACTATCTCTCGAAGGGAATTTGTTTGAGATAAAACAATTTGCCGATCTTGATGGTTATGACGACTACATGGAAAGGTACACTGCAGTCAAGAAAAAAATGTTTTAAGAACACTATCACCTTAAACACTTTTGTGATGTATGGATTATCCCGCGTGTAGTATGTAAATTATGCGACATGTTATGTAATAATAGTTATGTGATTGTTTTATAACTTTGTAAAGATATCGTATCATGTACGCGCAATTATTGCATTCAATACTTGTGATAATGTAATTGTACAAATAAAATATCTCGATTAATTGCGATAATAAATCGAGGTAGGTATTCATATTTTTCATAAACGTATGAACATTTATTACGAAAATCGTTTTAATACGAAACGTATTTACGCTGTAATACTTTACTCGGTAAACAGTATCGAGATTGTATTAACCATTAGTCTAATATAGCTTTCCGTACTAGACTATACTGTATAGTTTTTGTTGCGCGGTCGCGAAACAGTACCCTACTTTGTATTCGGTATTTGCGTATATATTTCATCAACGATATTTCTACACAGAGTTTATACAACGTCATAATGTTGTCGGATGACACGCATGAATCATGGTATTTTACAGTGTACCCTAGATTGTAAATACTAGGACTCATCCGTATGCTACTAGAGTAATCATCCGGCTCCCCTTTCCCTCTAATTACAAACCGATAAATAAGGACCAAACCCCGAAAAAGGACCTTTTTGTACCCAGTCGAAATTGTAAGCCCTTCGATATACACAAGCAAAGTGAATTAATAAATAATTTTACGAACAATTTTTTTCATATTTGTCGCACAAAATGCAATTGTATGTACGAATTTTATGTCTCAAATCGTTGAGACTTATCATCTATCCTGTACACCTACAAATCATGTTTTGATCGATTTCGAAACTATTATGACAATTTATTATAATTGAACAACGTTATTGTAATCACACTTCTGAAATTAAACTCTATAAAAATAAATTGTGTATGTATTTTTAAGTCGTTCCTTTTATTTACTTACTTTTCTCTAGTATATATGTACCTGATTTTTAACTATTTTACCATTGAAATTAAGAACAAATGATCGTCTGCATCCTAAAATGGCGTGTTGAATTTCTGATTTCTTACTAAGAAGAGCCACTGAAATTAAATGAAAAAAAAATCGACAAATGAGTTGTGGATAATAAAAAAAAGTTGTATGCTTCACCTTCCAAGTTAGCAACCCTTCACTTGCAGATACGTGAGTAGCTTAAGTATTACTTCATTAGGCGCAAGAAATTTGTATTCCACTCTTTTCCTGACTGAACAATTACGGCTAATTTTAGAGCGCAGTCAGTATTCCATCGTCGGTTAATGTGTAAATAATTAATGATCAGAAAATTATATTTATTTGTGTGTTTATGTTTCGTTTAACAGTTTGAGGTTAAGTTAATAAAAATCATTGTTTCTACGTAAACGTCCTACGTGATCGCGCTTAACGACTTCGCATTTCGTTTGCAAATTAATTACGAAAAATAAGTACGGCAGTTAGAACTTAGTGAAACTAAACATGATATTTAACACATAATAATGGCATATTACATAATACTATTAGTTTATGCATAGAAGTATTTCGTTTACTACACTTTAAGGATTGTTTCGAACTATTTGAAGTTTAGCAAAACTTATATGCACGTCTAGGGTACAGACGACGAGAATCTCGTGTATGGAAGACGTACTACTCTAATTTTTCACAAACTCTAAACTTTTTAATATCTAACCAATCTAAGATACTGTCACATTTTAATTAATTTAATTAATCATTTATAATTGTCATGTTATAATATAATTTTTTACTACAGTGTCATCAATTGTTTATATTATGCCTACTCCACAATAGGACGTCCAACTAACGACCATGCTCGGCTACTAAAACATAAATGCCCTGTACCTGCTAAATGTTTGCACTTACTCTAGAACATGACATACATGATATATCGCGTAGAATATGTACGAAACATATGTTCTTTAGAAGTAGAACAATTAGCTGCTTCTTGCAACTGGTAGTAAAATAAAACCGAAAATATCTCTACAAAACATTCGTTGAAATTTCAAATACCCGTTCGTAGAAAATTTATAGGGTTAGGATACTTATCAAATATAATCGTGTTTCGTAATATTAACAAGTTGATCCGAAATACTTTATAAATTTTGCCAAAGTATTGTACTTTCTGACTATAGTACGTTCCATAAGACGATGAAATGGAATCAAATAAAACCATGTGATTGCACCAGGATCGTATTGATAAAGGCTATTTTCCTAATCCATACAAATGTAAGTTATTTGTATACATAAATAACACTAAAACATTTTACAATTCCTATAATCGGATACATTTAGATTAATTAGATAGTTATTATATTGTTAAAATCACGTTGTTTGAGATAGTATTCCAAATAACTATAATTAATGTGTTACAACTAGACGTGTTTAGAAATCTTCCAGTAAATGAAATTACAAATCTTTTTGCATCGTCAAAATTATGAATGAATAATGATATAATCAACAAACGAAATTAGTATAACATATATACTCCATTGATATTTTGATATTATCGATCATCATATTTACGTACAACTCCAAATACATGGTGTGGTATGTACACTCTGATTTATATAAATCATAAGTAAATAGCGAGTCCAACAGGTTCTCATAGAAACTTTGATAGCATACTCTATGGATGAAAAGGAAATGAAACTGTAATATATACAGTTTATTATTAGAAATACTTCGGTTATTTCCAAATAATATTGTAGAAAATAAAAGACAAAAATGTTAGTTTAAATAGTTGCTTCTGATTGCTAGATTTTGATATATTTCCGTCATGTGACAATTATAAGACAAACTGTGATCGCATCCAACTTCTTCATTAATTCATGAAACGTACTATAGAATTTTGAGCGCAAACCAAGAAGGGGGCAACCTTGTTTCGTTAGACACCCCTGGAGGGAGCACTGCCACCATAGTAGCTGATTTGATCAACGTAGTCTCTAGCAAGTGTTTCCCCGAACATGGCGGACGGTACTCGTTCGAATTTTCAAGGGACACAATGAAAGTGCACCGACTTCGTCGCGGTGATGTTCGTGACTAAGGGCGTGTGGTGATCCTGAGGGTGGCCGACGTGGGTGCCCTGGCGCCGTCGTGATCGTTGCGGCTGCATGCACGCCGGCGTGTGGCCGTCCTGACTTCACGGTGTAGAGTTTTGCCGCGCCGCGATTGTGTGTCTCGGAGCGACCGACCGTGGCGGGGCCCCCATGGTTGTAAATGGCTGACGGGAATCGGAAAATGAGGCCCGAACGTCGCGTGTGATTCCACGGCCAAGACACTGAGGTACGACATAAAAGCGGTCCACAGAGATCAAACGATATTCGCGCGGTCTTCCGTCCCAAAAACACCACCACCGGGTTCAAGCACCGCCCGGTGCTAGGAGCTGTCCCGGGGGTTGCTCGTATCTACCGTATCGCCAGTGTCTTCGTCAATTGATCGACTTTAGAGGTCGTGTTTTTCCTAGATCGACGGAAAGTCTCGTTTCGCACGACGCTTGTCATCGGCGATTAAAAAGTTCTCGGCCGTGTGTCTGCTCGAGCGCGACGTTTTCTCTTGTTTAGAAACAGCGTTCGTAGGTGCTCTCGTTCGTTAACGAGAGCGAGAGCGGCGCAGACTGGTTTTTAATGAGATGCCGATCATATGGTCGTTATTTCTTTCGCAGGTTTTCGCGTTACATTTTTCGATTCTCGTAACGTACTTATCGCCGATTGTAATGGACGTAAATGAATGATTTCGCCGGACGACTATCTATTTCGCACATTTGCGTGGACCAAGCATTATGTGTACGTGCATGTAAGACTTGCTTTCCTCTCGGATTTCAACAAACATTTTTAGATAATACCGAAACGTTAACATTATTCGTCGACCAAACTGTTGCTCCTTTTTTTAATGCAATCATTATTTTGCTATGTGTGATCTTATCTCTTTGGAATGCATTTTATAATTTGTTGTCATAAGAGACCAACTGTATATGTGAATTTTATGGTTCTAGAATCAAATGATAGCCTAACATATATGCACATAAGAATTACTATGTATATGTAACATAGAAAGTATCTGCTATATGAAAATAAATTTATTTTATTATGTTATAATAATCTATCATTTTTATTTATGTTAAAGTACATTTATACTAGATGACTTAAAAAATGTACTGTGTTTTATAAAATGTTAGTACAACCAATGACCAAAATATTCTTTTGATAATATTAACTTTGTAATATATCAACTAAGCCAAAGAACAATTTTCTGTTTTCAGTTGTTTCGATACATTTTGATTGTAAATTGTGTTTTATTGTTATGTGCAACTATAGAAACAGGGTAGAAAATGTCAGAGCCAGAAGAAAGTCTGGCAGCGCCGGATAGTACTACGAGGGAACAGAAGTTGGGTTTCTCTCATGGAGATGATGTCCTTCTTCAACATAAAGATGGCAAATATTATCTTGGAACAATTGTTGAGGTACATTTGTATACTTTCTACAAATGGCCATATCTTAAAAATATCTTATTAAAATTCATCACCATTATCTATTGCCCTTAAGTTTAACATATGTGAGCTGTTTACCATTTTAAACATTGTTCGTGTATAGGTGGATTTGGCAAGGGAAAGATGCCTTGTCAAATTCATGGACAATACCTCCTCCTGGTCCTCCGTTAAAGAGCTGACAAAGCTATCAATGCCAGATTCTGATGTTATGTGTGTTCTTTGCAAAAAATCTCAGCCTAAGACTGATAATGACATTATTGTTTGTGACAAATGTGGACGTGGTTATCATCAACTTTGTCACCAGGTAGTAACAAACAAGTCTTTTTTTCATTCAAAATATTGATTTTATGATTTTTCTATGGTTGTTTCATGGCATAGACATATGTTATGAGATAAGAAAAACAAGAATATATATTTACAGCCTCAGATTTCAAAAGAAGAAACAGCAGCAGAGGCACATTGGATGTGTAAAAGATGTGTAGATAGTCAACCACGGACGCGTGAAATTGTGGAGCCAAAAACTTCTATGGTAAAGGCAAGTATAAGAAAAGTTTGCAGTGGTAGGGACCAACCTCAGCCACCACCAGATGATATGACCAAGTTGCCGTATGATGTAAGTATTCAAAACTATAGATTATTTTAAAATAATTTAAGAAATAAAAATTTCTTTTTAAATGCACTTCCTTTTAAAAATACTTATTTATAAAACAAAATTCTGACGAAAGAAAATATTGTGGATAGTAAAAAATAAATAAAATATCCGTTTCCTATTTTTTATTTTAAACTATATTGTTTAATTAAATGGAAACAGACGATTTACAGAATCAATACCTAATGTTTTATTCCAGCCTAACATGTTAATTTGGGATGCACATCATAGAGTAAATGCCGAACAAATTTATTGTTATTGTGGACTCAATGGAGAGTGGTATACACAAATGTTGCAGTGCGCTCGTTGCAAGCAATGGTTTCACGAAAAATGCGTTAGTTGCTTAGCTTATCCTTTATACAGTGGAGATAGGTGAGTAGGAGCAACAGAAATATTAACCACTTCGACCCGACATCAGTGTCGAGCTATCAACTGTGATCATCCGCCTTATTTTAAACAGCTTACGCCGATATGTCGTGTATGCGGCAGATACGTATTCAATGCGTCAATTTGATTCTTAATTATTTTGTACAATACTGAAAACCACATTGAATAAAATCCTCTTAATAATTGAAACTAATCGTACAACGTGTTGTATCGATACATCGAGATATCGATTTCGCGTCAACTGTGTAGAAAGATTTGTTTCAAACGACGTCGGTTCGGGGGGGTTAAGGGAAAAATTGAAATTTTTCTTACTCCCAATTTTGTTGTCTTTAAAATATAATTCATGTTTGATAATATTTCTAGGTTTTACGTTTTTGTTTGTTCAATGTGCAATTATGGCAAAGAATTCGTACGGCGACTAGAGTTAAAGTGGGTAGATCTGGTGCACCTGATGTTGTACAATTTGACTGTTTACAATGCTAAAAAGTATTATGATTTGGACACTGTTATTGTACCTTATGCCAATGATAATTGGAATACTTTGCAGCTTCCACCACGGGTGAGGATCGTTCATTAATTTTACGAGTGCAAGTTTAAAGCGTTTTCAGTTTTTAAATGGTATTTATAATTAAATTTTTCACAAATATGGGTATGTATTTGTTACTGTTAGATCAGGGATGTCAGTGCTCAAATTCGCAGAGAATCTATACTAGCAATATTGACAAATAATAGGAACAGGTTCAAATGTGGCAGAGAAATAAAGAAGCGTACTACAATATGGGGACTCAGAGTTAGATTGCCGCCGCCGTGTCCGATTGTTAATCTTCCAGCAACCGGCGTAATAGATGATTCAGTGTTACGTAGATGCTGGGGTGCTAATAAAAGACTGCAATATCTTCCTCCACCTACAGGGTTAGTTGCTTCAATATTAATCAAAATATCCATTACTGACACTGTCAATCAATTAATCTATTACTCCTTATATTTGAAACAAAATCGTGTTGTTTCAGACCGATAAGTTTACCAGAGAGTACAAAACAGTTGATTGCGCTAAAGCACAGCACAGCTGAGAATTTAGAAATTCCCGTAAATCCATCGGATGTGGTAATGCGCGGAACAATTTATCAAAATTCAGAAGCTGAACAAAGTTCGTGCCCGAGTCCAAGTCCACCAAGTCAGTCCACACAGTCTCTAAGAGAAAGGTATGTAAGGTACATAAAATACACAGTATAAATAATTTAATCAACAAGCCACAGAACCGATGCTTCATTTTGTTATTTAAAATTAATTCAAGGTATAGCGGAGGTGGTTTTGTAAAGAAATCATTCCCATTCCCTAAACTGAGTTTACAAAGAAGAAGACGCTTGATGGCATTAGGTAGCTCTCGGGAACGAATGTTACGTAAACACAAGAAGAGAGAAAAAGGTGATGGCTCGTTAAGCAAGGCACAGGGCGTTAGAGAAGCTAGATACCGTAAAGCAAGAAAATTATTGAAGAACGCTATAGCCAAGGTATATAGTAGTACAAATAACATTATATGTTGGGTGATATTAGAAACTGGGATACATGCTCGAAAATATTTAATACTACGAGTCTTATTCGTAATAACTAAAAAAAAAGAAAAGTTCATCAAAAGATAGTCGCCATTGCGGGATTCAACTTATTCTATTGTCAGTTGTTTGTATCTTCGCTTAGATACTGGGGAAGAGCCAGAACTTGTTTCAGTTTTTAAGATCACTATTATATTTATACGCGAGAAATATAACATAGTTTTTTTGTTGCGTTGTTCAGAGTAAGTCCCGAAGTTCGGAAGCATCTGATCTACCACCAACACCTCCTACTTCGGTTTCTGGCCCTCCCACACCACCAGCTACAACTTCGAGTATATCGGAATTATCTGTACCTAGTTCTGTGGAACTGATGCATCCATTACCGCCGTCAACACCTGCGGATACAAGTGGGGATGAAACCAGTTCAAGAGGCACTTTGGATTCCTTTATTCCACCACCCAAAGACTTTGAAGGCAAGAATAATCCTTTTAGAAATCTCAGTGAATTATTGGGTATACCTGTTCATCTGAGTCAAACAAATTCGAGTACTCCGCCATACAATCCGTGTCCAATTACGTTGCCTCTGCCGCTCACTCCTGTCATATCTCAGCCGCCGATAGTGCGGCCAGCTAAACGGCAGTTGTCAGAGAAAGACATTATCATAGACAGAAACGGGCAAGTTAAACGTAGACGTCAGCATCGGAGAGGTCGTCCGTCGCAACAACAATTGCAGCAACAGTCCCAACATACTGCTAGTAAGACTGCGGCCATCTTGCCCGCGCGTAATAACGAGATTAAAAGTGAATTTGCAAGGAATTTAAGGAGTTCGTTTAACGGTGCCTCGAGCAGTGCCAGTAGTCAAATTGGAAATTGTGTTGATTATGCCTTAAATGGTAGGAGACTGAGGCAACGTCAGAGCAATGATAAATTACCCCCGCCGGATCCGCAGCCGCAGAAAAAAGGTAGCGTACCTTCGTCCCCAAAGTGTTCGCCAGTAAAACAAAGTGCACCCGACATATCTCTGGATGATCTGAAGTCATCGGTGAACATATATTTCGGAGCAGCTAACAGAATCGCTGCTGGCGAGAAGTTCGTCATTAAAGCGAAGAGGTTAGGGCCAAACGGTCAGACTCAATACCTTATCGAGTGGGAGGGACTTAATACTTAACAATAAATAATTTGTTTACGGTTAAATATATTTGAATCGTATACAATGTTTGTGGACGTCGAGCGGGGACAGCGATCAATCGCTGATCTTCCATCTTTCTAGAGAGCTCGGTGTTCGGAACAGATGATTAGTGACAAATTGATCCGTGTCACATGCACTGCCATTCGTTACACATGTTTATGTAATAAGTACGTATTAATTGGTGTACGATGTGCGTGACTGTTCTCGCAAATGTGTGTTTCGTTTCGTTCGTGAACAATTGAGAGTCTTGCGAAGACACTATTCCGTCAACGACAAACTTCATTGCTGGACAATGAATTCGTTTCGCTGGTTATTTCAGGTAACGTCATTTCGATGGTTTATTTTTTCTTTCTTTTTCTTTTTTTTGCTTGCATACTTTAAAATGAATATTTTTCATTACTTGAGTTCATGTTACATTGAAAATGTACCGTCCATAATTCAACGCGTAAAATTCGACTAACGTTTCTATACATGTATTTTTCATACAAAGCAAATAGAAGCGCGTGCGCGAGGAACATTTGCCAGAACAGTCAAATACATTGCTTGTAAACTGTACATATTGTAGCATAGTAGTTTCGCAGAGAAAATCGATGATTATGAACCATGTAAAGCAAAACCATTTGCGCCGGCTTTACATTTCATTAGAGATTGGCCAATCGCTCCATTTGAATTGCGGAGCAGACCATGATTACGACAAGGGGAGTGAATTGAAACTGACAGTTGTTCCTCTCACTTGAGCTAACATACTAGCGAACGTTAGTAGTTAGTGTTAAAGAGTAAAAAAGAAAAAAAGTAAAAGGCAGATATCCTGCAAAGGTTATTTTTCAATACAATCGTAGAGATAGACATCCGCTTCTGTAATTTGATCATCTTGAACTGTTACCCCGCACGAGACAGGTAAACGAAATCAAAATAATTCCGTTGCGTGCACATTTATTACCGTCATGCGCCATTTTGTCTTCTGCTGCCGCATCTCGCGATCGTGCCGCTATACATGTAGTAATAGAAAATCAATTTCTGACGGTTTTTTCCGTGGGGACGTAATAATTTATACAAACTTCGAGGATGATTTCGTAGATACGACGGTTCAAGACGATGAAGATACAGCTCTAGCATTGCTCACTAATATACAAGACTAAGGGAAGAAACAATATACCTATTTCGTATAACGTAAAATTTAAAGAACCACAAACTGAGTACGTAAGTGATTGGTCAAGTTATCTGTGCGATGGTAACGTTGTAAATTTCTCTATGCGGTTTTTCCAGCGTGGAATAATTTCGAGAACTCGAGACGTAGGAAATCTTTATACTGTTCTTGTTATATTAAAATTGTAGGGCATGAAAAGTATTCATTCGTGTGTGATAGATATTCGTGTGAACAACATTCTTGCAGAATTTCAAACGGACAGTTTTTCGAGTTTCATGGGACAGATTTTAAGGCACGTTTTTGTACTAAAAATATTTTATTCCATATACGATTCGTTCGATGCATTTAATTTACACGGAATCTGCGGTCGGGATTTATCGATCAGAAATATGTAGATATCAGATTGTTTCTTGTTAATGTCTCGAGTCGAAAGAGAGCTTATTAGGAACGTCGAAGAACTTGTTTGTCCGTACGACTGCACTTTGTTGTACAACTTAAGTTTTCTACGAAGTTGTTTCGAACGATCAGTTGCGTGGAAGTAAATTATTAACGATGTGCAACGAGAAATTATTGCGGTAGAATAGTCGTCTAGCGATCAGTCTTTCTTGAAATACCAAAAGTGCAAAGAATTGAAAGAAATGTCGCGTTTCATAGATCTCTTGGAGCAAGTTTTATAGTCGCGTTTCGTTTTCTTTTTTTCTTTCCGTAATGTTTAATTATGCTAAAATTCGACTGTATACACGAACGACACGAGTTTCCCCAAAATCTGGGTGCGAGAAAAGCCGCGAGTCATTCATGCTTAGACAGACTTACCTAAGATAGGTATTTTTAAGCGTTATTTATTTAAACTACTACGTGTAATAATCATTTGCATTGTGACTCCTTTAGAGAGCCCTTCTAACGCTGAGACGACTTCGGTCTTCGAAAGCTCATAAATTCCAGCGATGGTAATTCTTCGAGTTACAAATCATTGTACAGAAGCCTCCGCCAGTTACGCTCATTTTGTTTTACATACACAAACTGCTAAAAAATATTTGAACGGAAATCCTTTCGATTGTCTTCGGATAGCTAAAAGAACATATGTTCGAGTGTGTTGAAACATTAATGCATTTACGCAAGTCGCGAGATGAAATTTTTGTTATTATGTGTGTTTCTTTGAGCGCATCGCAGCGAGCTCGTACTCTCTAAAGGAACGGTATAGGTAATGTTGGACGGATACACTGCCAAACGTCTCTAAGTTATATTTAATAAACAACGTTAAACAATATTGTGCTATGATATATTAATTTTTAATTAAACGAACCGTTTGCGTTTAGTTTCCAGGTTCGTTCGTTGGCGCGTTCGCGATGAGCCACGAGCGAAGAACTTAAGTACAACTTAAGCCGTTTTTTTTGTTTTTTTTTTTTGCGCAGAGAACTGTTTCTCCTTGATGCCGAAACTTGGACGATTTCGTTCTGATGATTCGCCTTAACCCTTTTAACGCTGAATGGTTTTGACGAATAAATTACACTGGTTTCAAAGCAAACTTGCCCATACTAGACCTGGAATTCGGGACTTTCGAATAATTATTATTTCAAATAAATAGTTACTTCCTTCTAACGTTTTAGGAAATAAAAGACTGAAATGTTATTTCAAAACAGTTGTTTCTTTTAATTTTAAATAAAGTTTGCCCAGGTCTGACCCACCCTAATAGAAACGTGTGATCAGGCTTCAGTTTACAATTGGTATGACGATTATTCTGGGAGATACACAGTGCAAGTTTGTTTTGAAGTCCTTAGGGACACTCTGTTTACGTTTCTTTTTGTTAGTTCTGACTATTTCTTTTACTAGTCGCGAAGCACTTTGCAAGCAAGAAAGGGTTAGGCGAATCGGAGAACACGAATGGGGAATCTGTGCTCCTGCGTATCGACGTGTTAACCCAAGTTAATCACGCACTAATTTAATCGCGCGTTGCGTCGCCGCATTGTATTGTTAAACGACTTTCTCTTCTTATTTTCTGTTTCTGTTACATTCTCGCGATGTTTTGTATCACGAATCTACCGTGTAAGTTCTACGAAAGCGACTGTCTTTCATCACCGTGGCGATCTGTTTTACTAGGGTCTTACGACAGGGTCCAGGCTAGATCGACGAACACGAAACAAGAGAATTTCGAAATCACGATTGCTCTACATTCACGCGTGATGTTTATTAACCCTTTCACTGTGATAATAGTTATAATTACACAATATAATTGTACGATTATATAATAATTATAATTATGTAATATTGTCGGTTGATCAACTAATCGATGATATGTGTCGATGAGCGTATGGTCAGCGCCAATAGCAGCGAACGAGTTAAGCGGCACCGCTCGGAAATTGCAGCAAAACGATAGACGAATACTATTGTCGCTGTTACGTTGGAAAGTCTCGAGTCACAGTTTCGTCTGTTGGTCTGTCCAGTCTGGGGCTAGATTTGCACGAGAGAGTGGTGTCGATGGCGGCAAGAGAAACGAAAGCATCGAACTCCGCTTAGAAAAGAATCTTGTACAAAGCGTAGATGATAGGGAAAGAACTGCGGTCCTTGAGCTATTACGCGAGAACAAGGGAACGTTTATTAGTTCATTGATCACGACGAACAATTGTACCGAACGATCCATGCTGGATCAGCGTCAGCGGAAAGTGGAAGAAGGTAAAGATGTACTGCCAGTATCGTATATGTGTAAATATCCTCCCCTCAGATACAACCCCTACCTTTCAGCTCCAATTTTTTAACACAGATACATTTCACGAGTACGTCAGGAATGCGTAGTTGTACGTTGCGTAATGTTTGTACGATTATAATGTGAAACTCGGGGGACTGTTCTCGGGGCCACTTCCGGCGCGCGCATTCGATGTATCGTTTCCGTGCGAGGTTTCCGCGAGACATCGTTCTTTCGTTGTGGAAGCTTCTTGCGAGCAAAGGTATTCGATTCGATTTATAATTTCGAGAATAATCATCTACGTGTTCGTTATACGAAATATTTCCGTGACACTGTGTGATTCTGGTCGTTTTAGGTTTCAGAAAAATCATCGTCGCGTACGATTATCCAAGTACTAGCAGCTTGATTTGTATATAAAAGAAGTTTGATTCACGATTTTATTATTAGAGGGTTGAAAAAAGAAAATAGTTTTTTACAGTTTGTCGTTTAGACGGGATTAGAGAAACTTTTTAAACGATAGGTCGGGAAATTATACAGAAAATTTTCACTTTCGTATAGACCGAGGAACAGAGGTATATTTTTTAAGGAGGAATGATGAATTTCGTCGTCTTGAATTCTTGTATTAACAGCAACAGCGAAGGACTCTCTCTATTTCTGCTAATACCTTATTTGAATTTAATATTCAGCAAATATTTGGTTTCTGCTTTTGGAAATATTTATGAAAATGAGCGGAGCAGTCGAGTTTCTTGCATTTGCGTTGAAAACGATATAATCCTGTAATATAATAGAATAAATTATGCGTGTGTCGATCAGTCGAATCGAATCGTTCGGTTTTCGTCGATTTGTTTCGAACAAAATTAATTTTAATTCAGGCGCTGGTTACCGGAATATCTGTGAATGGCGGATCTCGCAGCGAAACAGATGCATTTAATCGACCGTGAACTGCATTTTTCTCGAAATGAGAACAAACACGATCGAAGAAAAATTATTAGCAACAGGCATCGAAGCAACGATACTTGAAACCTCCGTGTAAATACAACGCTCTATTGCGTGAATTACTTTTATACAGAAAATTGTTCAGAGGTGCCGAATATACATATTTAATAAACACTATATTTCAAACGAAAACGATTATTAATTTTAAACGAAAGG